CCGTACTTCAAACGTGTCCGAAGGTGGCACCAAACTACCGTCCTGGCGCTGCCTTGGGGGTCTCGTGGGCCGTCTTGCAAGCACTGGGGGTCGGCTCAAATCGTCAGCATCTTTGGTCAAATGATGAAGTGTGCGCGTGTGTGTGTGTGTGTGTGTGTATTCTTTCATATAGATAGATATCCGCCGACCCGGCGTGTGAGTTTGAAAGGGCGTGGGCTTGAGCTTCGCTCGAGCTCCGCTCTGTGTGTGGGGGGGGGGCGGGGGTGCGATGTGCTCCGCTTTCCGCTCCGTCGCGGCTCCGCTCTGTGCGTGTAGGGGGGAGGGCGATGTGCTCCGCTTTCCGCTCCGTCGCAGCTCCGCTCTGTGGGGGGGGGGGGGGGGGGCGCCATGTGCCAACCCCGAGAAGGAAAAAGAGAGGAGGGACGAGGGCGAAGGAGGATCACATCAGTCGGAGCGCCCCGGATCGGCGGCACTGGCCGGAGGCCACTACAAGATGTAGATGTATGCTTATGTGTGTAGCTGTAGCCATATGTACACATAGGCGCATATGTTCTGTCAGTACATACCCATATTCAAATGGCGACGTCTCATTCGTTCTACCACTTCCTCATATTCCCCGGCTTCTCCCAGCACCGGGGCAAAACAGAAAAAATACGATATGTAGTGCCAACTTCAAACGTGAAGCAACAACATCGGGGTCATGTTATTCGTTTCCATGCTGCTAATGCTCGTGTCGGCGTGTGCTAAAACCTCGACGCACGCAGGGTCCAGTGCGGTGCGGGCCCACTCTGCGCCACTGCACAGGTCAGTGAGGAGGCCGCGGGCCCTCCGCGCACACACACACACATGCACACGCCAGACACTTTCGCGAACATACCTCCGAAGGTCCCTAATAAAAGGAGGCCGCGAACCATCCGCACATGCCTGCGTAGGCTCGCACATGCTCGCACAAGAGCCGGACGCTGCGCGCGAGGTGGGCCAACCCGTTTCGACCGAGGCATCCTCGCAGCTCTGCGCTCTCAGATGCTGCTCGAAGGGAGGCCCCGCGTCCCCCTGAGACGTCCTCGCGACTCTGGGCGCCGAGGAGCACTGGCCCGAGCAAGTCCAGCCCCTTTTCGCCAGAGACATCTTTGCAACTATGGGCTGGGAGAGGCTCGGGCGGGTGCTAATGGGGGGTGGCCCAAGTAGAGCGCGAAGAGAAGGGCTCTAAAGGGGCTCCAAAAAGGGTCTTTCTGGACACCTGCTGTCTGCAAAAGGGGCCCTACGGGGCACCTCTAGGTTTTTTTCCTTCACCCGCCGTTTGGGCCCCCCCCCATCACCGCCCGTCCGAGAGGCTGCACGCCAGTTGGTCCGACATGTTTCGCCTGAGACATCCTCACACCTCTCGGGGCCTCCGTGGGCCATGAGAGTCACCGTGCTCCTCTCGGGGCAAGCCCTCCGGGCACCTCCGCGGCACCGGGCAGCAGTGCAGGGGCAGGTGCGCTACTGCTAACTTATTACACGGCCGATGTCGGCGTCGATGCCGTTTAAAGATGCGCTATACGAACCAAGCACTGGTCCATACTCGAAGCAAGGAAGCGAAAATCATTCAATGGGCTGGGCAAGCTGAGAGCTCAAGCAACCTGTCTCGATTCTACAGCAAGCTGAAGGATATGCGCACACATACCAGCACCCCGTGATCGACGAACGAGAGTGGTAGAGTCGTGCCTAGCTTCCAGAACAGGGATTCGGTGCGCAAATGGTCTTGATATCTTCGAACAGGTCGAGATGCCACCTAACAACATGATGTCCTGTTCGTTACATCGCCCTGCTCAACTTCACGCGGGTGAAGAAGCGGGAAGGACAAGTGGGCCTGCGATCAGGCTCAAAACCACCGCGGAGTACAGCCACAAGTCTACAGTGAATGCGGGAAGTGGTCCTTGTAAGGGGCAACACGCAACATGTATGAAGTGCAGAAGTCTCGCAAACAGATCCGGAAGGAAATGGGGACAACAAAGCACATGCGGCTAGGGAGGAAAGCGAAGACAGGGCGTTGAAGGAGGGACTGAAATGACAACGGATGGAATAAATGAGCACACGGGAAAGAAACACATGTGCGGAAGGAGGGGGCCTTTCCTGATGCGGCGCCTGCGAAACGATGGGAAAACTGTTTCTCTCCGAACCATGCCGGTGCCGCCATTTCCCAACAATAAAACAACTCTTGCAATGCATTCCTGTGCGTGCGCTGCTATGGCGACCTCTGCAACAACAGAGTGAGGCATAATCATCTGCTCTCCCGTCGCTGGTATGTTCAGCGGGACCGGAGACTCCGCCATCATGTAGCAGGCCAGCGCGACCTGGCCCCGAAGAGGATGTGTCTTGTAGCTTCCCCCATCCAAATGTGCAGACTCATGAGGACAGGGCCATTCCGTTCTGCCTCAACTCAGCGCATGACTAGAGGATGCACAGCGGGGGAAACGTACGCAGCCAGGGTTAGCCCTCCCTCTTCCCTGGCCTCCCCATCCACCACTCCCCCCAGGCCCCGTCTTCTCCCTGCTTGGAGGAGGAGGAGGAGGAGGAGGAAGGATTCCTCTCCTTCGCCCCTAGTGGGCGGTGAGGGTGATGTGGGGAAGACAGGGAGGGGAAGCGCAGGCAGGGGACGCACAAAGGGAACTCGGCATGCCACTCAACAAACGCGCAGGAACCCACTCGCCAGCGTAAAGGAGTTCGGGCGTCTTCTTTCCCGATCTTTGTTTCGCAGGCGCTCCTCTTGTTTTTGTTGGCACGGCGCCGCTGCAAGTCTTGTAACTTGGAAGTCCAAGAGTCTTGCATCCGTGCAGTCAAGGCTCAAAAACGAAGCAAACAATTGTATATACTTCTCGATTCCTGCTCGAAAAGGGACCCCTGAATGGGGTCCATAGTCGAGCATCTGACGAGCTCACAGCCTGGTGGGGCGGAGCGGAGGACGGCGCTGCTGGGGGCGAGGGGAGGGGCAGCAAGAGGGAAAAGGTGAAAGAGAGGCGAGGAGGAGGAGGAGGAGGAGGAGGAGGAGGAGGAGGGCGGAGGGGGAGGAAGAGGAGGAGGGGGACAGGGAAGAAAAACTAAGAAGGGAGTGACCAAAGGCCAACGGGGGAGGAGGCGAATGCAGTGGACGGCGAAGGAAAGAAGAAGGGGGAAGGGGGGGGGGACGAAGACAAGGATGGGGGAGAGGAGGAGGAGGGGAGGGAAGGCCAGGGGGAGGGGCGAGGGCCAAGTTGGGTGCTCTGGGTCGTCGGGGCCGCAGGGGCCCGGGCGTGCAGCCCCCGGTGCCCAAGGCGCGGAGGTGCACCACGCCAGGCGGTCGAGGAGAGGAGCAGCAGGGGGACGAGTGCGGGCGAGGGCGGAGACGGGGTGGGTGGCAGAGGTTATCGGGCCAGGCGAGGAGGAGGAGGAGGAGGAGGAGGAGGAGAAGGAGGAGGAGGAGGAGCAGGAGCAGGAGGAGGAGGAGGGGGAGGAGGAGGAGGAGGAGGAGGAGGATGAGGAGGAGGAGGAGGAGGAGGAGGAGGAGGAGGAGGAAGGAGAGGGGGAGGAGGAGGAGGAGGATCGGGCCTAGCGAAAGGGGGGGATAGCAAAGGGGGGGTTTGAGAATCAGCTCACGTAGCTGATTTTCCGGCGCCACCCGGCGCAGGAGGCGGCCATGTATCGAGGAATGGGCCCCTAGGTGGGGCCGAAACCAGCTGCATGCAGCAGATTTCGTAACCCCCCCTTTCCCAATCCCCCCTGTTCGACTGGCCCGAGGTTAGGAGGCAACTACTGGATGGTCTTCGTCGGAAGGATCAAGGAGGATTAAGCCCCGTTTGGGGGGCTGCTACGCCGAAATCGGCCGCGCACTAGGCGGATTAACCCCGATCAGGCGGGAACAAGCCAGATTAGATAGGAACGGGGAAGGGGGAACGATCGAGGTCTAGCATCCGCCGAAACGGACCCTGGCCGCAGGGACAAGGGAGGCCATGCCTCAAGGCGGCGCTGAAAGGCCCGCGCCGCCCCCAAAGAATCGCACACGGATGCGCGCGAGCCACACCGCCAGAGCTTGGAAAAGCAGGGGGTAGCGATCGGCCGGGACGAGTGGGGTAGGGGCTGCTGGGGCGGAGCGTTGAGGAGGGCGGAGGCGTGTGGAGGAGCGGGACACTGGAGGGGATGAGAAGTGTGTAGTAGGGTGCCTGGGCGTGGTGAGGAGTAGACTGGAGCGGAGTTGAGAGCCGATGGGGAGCGGAGTGGAGCAGAATGGAACACTAGAGGGAACGGCTGGGAAGAAACCGGGGGTAGCGGGCTGAAGAATATGGAGAGGACGGCAGAACAAGAGTGAACTGGAGGGAAAAGGAAGGAAGAACACGCCAGGAGGAGTGGAGTGGAGCGGAGTAGGATGGGTGAAGAGGAGTGAGGAAGAATTCGGAGGAGGACCGAGGCACAATAAAGAATCGAGAGGAAACGTAAGGGAAAGGGTGCGGAAGAGGGCGACATAATAGCGAGGAGCGGATGAGCAGTTGCAGCAGCGGCATCAGTATGATGGCGTAATCAAACGAGCGACGAGGAAGGCACGCTGAGGGGGAGGGAGAGGAGTAAAAACAACGGGGACGAGGGAAAGCAGTATGAGGCGCCGCGTCCCATGCTGCACCATGCGATCCTCCTCCTCCTCCTCCTCCTCCTCCTCCTCCTCCTCCTCCTCCGACTCCGAGGCCACCTCCTCCTCCTCCTCCGAGGCCACCTCCTCCTCCTCCTCCTCCTCCTCCTCCTCCTCCTCCTCCGACTCCGAGCCCACCTCGTGCCCCTCCTCCACCCGGCTGGACCCTCACGGGGGGGGGGGGGGGGGCGGCGGCGGGGGCCGGGCGGGCGGAGCCCGGCGGGCAGGTCGGGCGGTCGAGCCCGGCAGGCGGTCGGACCCGACAAGGTGCGGGTCGGGCGGGTCGGGGCACGGAGGTATCTAACCGGGTGATGGTCTTCCTCCCCCCCCACACTTCCCACAGGTTCCCAGCTCGTCCCGGGGATCGACGATGCATTGTGCCTGTGGGTTTACACCACTCCCGAGAGAGGGGCGGCGGGCTTTGAGGCAGGCGGGCAGGTGGACCCTAAGAGGTGGCCCAGGCGGGCAGGCCCTCGCGGGCGGGCTGGGCGAGCGCGTGACGACGACGACGAGCGATGACGTCGAACGACGACGACGAATGACGACGACGAGACGACGACGATGACGACGAGCGACGAATGACGACGACGAGCGATGGAGGACGACAAGCGACACCGACGACGGCGACAAGCAATGACGATGAAGAGCACGACGTCGACGAGTCGAGGGACGGCCTCGCAGACGACGCAAACGACAACAACGACGGCAGGCGACGGGACACAAGAACACGCTCACGCTCAGTGACCCGGGCCGAGCCACTGACGCCGCGCGGACCACCGACGCCTGAGAAGGCCGAGGAGGAGGGCGAGGATGCGGATGAGGAGGAGGAGGAGGAGGAGGAGGAGGAGGGGGAGGAGGGGACAAACGTTTGTACTCATGCCCTTCTTCCTATATTCTCGACATGGCGCCCCGAGGTGCCACGGCCCTCTGGCTACAGACTGCGCGCCCGCGCCGCGCCGAGCACGCCCCCGCGAGGCAGAGAGAAACGCTCGGCCCCTCCGGCGCCGGGCTCTGGCAGAGCGTGTCCGCGAGGAGGGGCCCCGAACATCTCATGCTACGTAATTAGGTCGGGCATGTCCTCCCAGAGGCGGATTCTTTGGCAACAAGAAGAGAAGAAGCCCTCCAGGAAAGCAAACATAACCATTATGCTTGCTTTCCTCCTGTCAAACCTACTGCGCGAGGTCTCGCGGGCCCCCCCGCGGGCCACGCCGGTGACGAAGCAGACGAGGCACATGCAGGAGCGTAGCCTGGAGCACCGGAGGGCCGCCCCGCGAAGGGAGGGGGTCGGGCGGCAATCGGCGTGGGGCAGTGGCGCGCGGAGGAGGAAGCGAGGGCAACCACCAGAGCACGTGCACGCCGTGGCTCGGGTTCTCAACACGGCAGCAGCACCAGGCGATGTCAACACACACACAAATAAAGCTGCTGTTGGAATAGCAGAGGAGGAATGCGAGCCGGAGGGGGGACAAGAGGGCGGCAAAGGAGGCCAGGACGGGCCGAAGAGGAAATCGAGCGAGAGGAGGTGGATATCAAAATCAACAATTGCAGAAGTCCGCCGCCAACCGCTTGCCTGGGGTGCAATGGCGCGCGAAATACGTAGCACCCCGCAGTTGCGGATAAGAGTGAGGGGGCGGCGAGACCGTCGTCAGTCTGCGAGGCTCTGAAGAAGCCCGCCGCAGGCGTCTAGCTTTTACAACTTATGTATTGAGCTCGCCGCAGGTGCCGACTTTTTTCTTAAAGCAATGTGGGTGGATCGCGGGGTGGCTCGCGGGTGGATCGCGGGTGGGCCGCGGATGGGTCGTGTGCCGGGTCGCGGGTGGATCGCGGGTGGGTCGCGGGCTGGGTCGCGGGGTGGATCGCGGGGTGTGTCGCGGGGAGGGTCGCGGGGTGGGTCGCGGGTGGGTCGCGGGTGGGTCGCGGACTGGGTCGCAGTGTGGGTCGCGGGGTGGGTCGCGGGGTGGGTCGCGGGGTGAGTCACGAAGTGGGTCGCGGGTGGGTCGCGGGGTGGGTCGCAGGGGGGACGACGACAACAAACACCAATACCAACACCAACACCACCACCACCACCAACAACAACAACATTAACACCAACACCAACACCAACACCAACACCACCAGCAACAACAACTACTACAACACCAACAATAACAACAACAGCAGCAGCAACAGCAACAGCAACAACACCACCAACAACAACAACAACAACCAACAACAGCGGCAGCAACAACAACAGCAGCAACAACAACAACGCAACAAGCAGAATCCTCACATCGGATCCCCACTAGGGCCAAGCACCCAATGACAATGAATGACCGTCCGGCTCCCTCACTCTGAGTTGGCTGGCCCCCTCTCCCGTTCCCCCTTCCCCAGGGTCCAACATCGCGTTTCAAGGGGGGCGGGAAGCGGGTTTGCGACTTCATCGGGGCTTCTTCTGAGCCCCCAGAGAAGCAAGAGCGCCAGAAGACGAGCCCAGGCAGATCCCAAGAGGTCCGCCGACGGGTGTGAAAGCGGACATGGAGACCCCCAGGGGATCCCATCATGAAATGCGCAATCACAGCAGGGGGGCTGCGAACATGAGCAGGAGGCTGAGCAGGAGGAATAAGAGGATCAGGAACGAGGAGGAGGAACAGCGCGACAACGACTAGGAACCACTCGGATCGAGACCATGGGCCTGCACTGGAGCGATCGCGACATTCCGATCGATAAGGCGCAAAATGCCGACCCTAAATGAGGCCAGCGCTGCAACCGAAACCGTTCAAATTTGACGAAAGCGCAGGGACCTATGAATGGCATCAGGTGTAAACAACATGTTAGCCAGCGTGGACCCTCAACAGTGCGACAGTGCACGGTTGGGACGGAACACATGCGGTGCAAGATACGTGGTGTAAGCTGAGTGGTGTAAGCAAGACGGAGTGAACTGGAGGTGAAGGCCATGGGGTGCAAGCGTTCTAAGGTGAGCTGTGTCGTGAACTCTATGCGAGGTAAGTCATATGCTGCAAGCGGCAATGGGCGGCAACGCGGCGAATCCTCGGGACACCCGCGAGGCGGCAACGAGGAAGCAGCGGGCGACAACGCGGCGAAACCTCGGCGGACCCCCCCCAAACGCGGTGGGCCCCACGGTGCTGTGGGCGTCATCGCGGAGGCGAGCGGCAGCAATGTTGCGAAACCTCGGCGGACCCATCGAAATCCCAAGTAGGACGCCGGGAATTCAACTGCTGTGTGGGGTAGTGCGAAAAGAGGGCAGGGCGCCTCCCCGGCCATCGCATTTACGCGGGCAGGACTCGAGTTTCCACTGCAGCTTGGACTCCTGGCCGCCCCTCCCAGGAACCCGCGGCGCATTGGGTGTGGAAAGGCATCTGGCCTGTGAAGTGGCCCGATGCTTATCTACATCCAGTGCCTCGGCCTTGCGGCACCCCCTCCAAGAAAGTCCAGAACTCGTGGATGTGGATGCAAACATGGCCCGCATTCGGGCAGCGGTAGATGGGGTCGGGGGATCTCACCGCATCGCTGATGCATCGGCGATGCATCGCCGATGCATCGTCGATGCATCGCCGATGCACTGGCGACATCGGCGATGCATCGGCGGCGTCGGCGTGGAGGAAAAAGGGCCCCACATCGAGCCGCATCGGCGATGCATCGCCGATGCATCAACGATGCGGCGCGATGCGGCGCGATCCTCCGACTCCGTTTGCTCGGACCCCACCTATAGGAGGCCCAGAGGAACGGGGGAGGGGGGCGGCGTGACAGACAGGGCGCGGACGCCGCTCTGGCGCTGGGCGCCTTCCGTCGGGGCGGCGGAGGGGGAGAGGCCTCTCTTTCGGGGAGGGCATCCTCCGTCCCAGGAGCACGGGGAGGGAGGACAAGCGGGGTGGAAAAGGAAGAGGGCCCTACTCGCAGGAGGAGGCTGACTGGGGGTGTCGTCACCGTCTTGCTTAGTTCTCTGCATTGCGCGAACCTTGGATGTGGGAGCCGTCACATCTATCCTCCGCCACCTTTCTTCTTTGGCCCGCTCGTTCTTTCTGTCATCGTGGCTCCGATCCAATCTAGGAAAACGCAACACAACAAGGGGCAACTGCTTTCTAAAACGATCAATTCAGCCGTAAACAAACCTTCTGCTGGTGATATGTACGTGCCTTTCTCGCGAACGTGCGTTTCTCCATCCCTTTTTCCGTAGTCGCTCGAGCTTCCATCACCCACGATGCAGACGCCGTCGCAATGTATGATACAATCCACCTCAACCAGGTCAACGCATCGACTGGCCCGAAGAACCACCAACTCCAACGAACTCTGGACGTCCATCTCCACATTGACACCTGAACTCTGGACGTCCCTGCTGTTTTCCACGGTGTGGCCCTGGACCGGGCAGCCCAACCATTTCACAACGCACCTGCCGCGCACTGCCTCCTCCTCCGCCTCCTCCTCCTCCTTCTTCCTCCTCCATCCTCCCTCCTCCCTCCTCCTCCTCAGTCCTCCTCCTCCTTCTCCTTCTCGTCCTCCTCCCCTCCGTCGTGATTCTCCTCAGAGGGAGGGCGCAGTCTCCGCGGGAGGAGGGCGAGGCGGACGCGAGCGATGCCGCACACGGGCCGAGCGATCGGCAGGGCGCGCGCGCAGAGCGAGAGGGACCGCGGCAGCGCGGGCCTCGCTCCGAGGCTGACGCCCGTCTCCTCGGAGGGCGCGTGCTGCCGAGACCACACTCGAGCCGGCTCTCTCCCTCTCTCTCTCTCTCGCTCTCTCTCGACCTCGCTCTCGCCCGTCGCTCGTCGTCTCTCTCTTCTCTGTCTCTCTCTGTTGTTCTCTCTCTCTCTCTCTCGCTCGCTCTCTCTCTCGGGCTCTGTCTCTCTCTCTCTCTCGCAGTCCAAGCGTCAGTCTGCCCCCCCCCCCAAGGCGCGCACACAGCCCAAAATCGCATCGCTGCGCTTCCGAGACCGCTCTCTCTCCCTCTGGGACTCCGCCAGGGGCAGACACCACGGCCTAACCACACCCACTCCTACGAGGCCTTCCGCCGCGCCGCCGTGCGGCTCCGCAGCCGAGGTCGATGACTGCACCGGCCGCAGGACAATCCATACTCCAGCGAGCAGCTGTGAGCGTCCCTCCCGCTGTGAACTCCTGATTTCGTAATCAAAGGGAGGGGGTCACAACCCTCCCAGACAAGAAGTTTTAGACCCCCCAGACTATCCATGAAAGGGCGGCCCTTGCCCAGACCCCCCCGAACCCTCCAAGACAGCTCAAATTAGACCCCCCCCGGATGTGACCCCCCCCACTTTGATATGGAATCCAGAGTACATAATGTTTCGACGGTTCGAGCAGACTTCTTGGAATGGCGCTGGGGCAACGCTGGCGGCGCCTCTGGCGGCGCTCCGCGCGCCATTGGAGGGGGCTCCAGCGCCGATCCGAGAAGACCTCGCGGAGCTCAAACGGATTGATGCCGGCAGTTCGAAGAGGGGCTCCTGAGGGACGGGGTCCTGAGGAAGAGGTGCCTCAAAAAACTGAATTTCAACTTTTGGTCCCTTCCTGTCCTTGGGGCCCCATCCCTGAAGACACCATCTTTGAACCATTGTTTATGGTTATGTAGTTGTGTCCGGTCATTAACTTTCCCTGGGCGCGTGGCTGAAGACGGGTTCTGCGGTGCGGATTGTTATTGGTGTTGTTGTTATTGTTGTTGTTGGTTGTTGTCGTCGTCTGTTGTTTGTTGTTTGTTGTTTGTTGTCGACGCCCCCCCCGCGACCCAGCATCGCGACCCACCCGCGACCCAGCCGGCGAACCACCCGCGACCCACCCGCGACCCACCCCGCGACTTGCAGGCTTCTTGGGCCGTTGTGGGGCCATCTTGGGTGTCTTAGGACGATCCTTGGGCGTGTCGGGCCCTCCTCGGGCCGTCTCGAGAGCCTCTTGAGGCCCTCTTGGCCCGTCTTGGGGCCCTCTCGGGCCTGAAACAGTCACGCGACAGGATGTGGCACGCCCCCGACGAGTCGCGGGCATCCGCACCTCGGCGGCGGGCACGCCCCGGGGAGGGCCAGCTCGACCTGCGAGCAGCGAGGGGCCGCTCTTCGCGGGAGGCCGCCAGGACCTCCGGGGCCAGAGCGCCGCTGCCGTCCGCGGCGCGTGGGCGCCGTGGGGGGCCCGCGCGTGGGCGGCGCCGCCGTCCGCGGGGCTCCTGGACGTCCGTCGGGCATGTCCTCCTACGGTTGAGTCGGGCCTGTCCCCCTATAGGGGGACGTTCGACGAACAAAGACCAATACTCCAAACATGCTCCCAAATGGGCGAAACGCATGTCTAAAAAATAGTCCCCAGACTATTTTTGGACTGTTTTGACATATCCCCCCTGTAGAGGGACAGGCCCGCCTTAGTCCTACAGGCGGGCTTTGGAAGTACAGTTCAACAGAGTCGGCAATGCGCCCGCTATGCGGAACATGCGGATCTGTTTCTCGCACGCCGTCTCTTCCTCTCTCATTGTCTGACCTGTTCTGTCTCTCCCTCCCTCTCCTTCTCTGTCCTGGACGCCCGGATCATCGAGGATCACTCCGATCTGGGGGGAATCCGGCCTGGGCCTCCGACGCACGACCCAGGAGCTACCCAGTTGGCCCTGACCACCCCGATCCACGATGACTCGAGAACGGTTGGGCCCCCGAATCTACAGGGATAACCCTGGTCCGGCGCGCAAAACTCGAGGTTGGGCTCGCGAGGCACGAAGCATGAGCTACCCGTGACCATCCCCACCCCTCCATGATTCGGGGCTCTGGTTTCTTCCGCTCTGCATCTCTGGCCCTGCGTTACTGCACCTCGGTCGGAAGAAGCAGGCAGACACAGGAAGTAGGAAGTCGCTGAAAGCAGATTGGGGGTCAGCCCGCCCGCGGGCACAGAACCGCTCGGCCCTCCGGCGCGGATTTTGGTCGAACGTATCCGTCAGGTGGGCCCAGAATACTTAGCTGTCGGTCGGAAGTAGTATGTAGGAACATGAAGTAGGAGGGCGCTGAAAGGAGATTGGATGTCCGCCCGCCCCCTGAAGAGGACGGCAAAGGTCAAGCCACTCGATCCTTGAAGTAGGAAGGCGCCAAAAGCAGATTGGATTCTGGGACTCCGAAAATACCTACTTTGAACGACCGATGGTTATTTTCGTTTCACAAAAATGGCAACCAATGTCGGCCGTCATCCATCATTGCCGCCCGCTGGGAGTAGTCTGCGAGGCATCCCGTATTGGACTCTCATCCTCCAGGCCGTGTAGCAGGCATCTGGCCCCTCAAAACCCAGCTTGCGTCGCAGCCTCTCAAAAGATCGCCCCAAAGCTTTCCAGCACGCTTGCAAGACTGACAGCAAAAGCTCGAAGCAATAGCCAACCGCGCTCAGCTCAACCCCTTTCTTCAGAAATAGCAAGTGGGCGCAGGGTCTCGCACAACAAACTTTTAAACTCCTGGTCCTGCCAAGCAGATGGTGGAAACCTTACGGTAAAGAAGATAACGACAAAAGCCGCGACGGATGGTGCACGCGACGCCAATAATCATACACCACTCTCTTGAGAAACCGTGCAACCAACACATTTATATGTGTTTCCCGCCGCAGCCTTCCGCCAGCTGAGCCCGACACGGACTTAGAAGAACACCTTCAGGATCATGACGCAGAATATCGAATCGATGACGGCAGCTACAGCAGCAGACGAGGAGTGCGAGAGCGGAAGCGGGGGCGAGGAGAAACATCGCGCAGCATTCGAACCCCGGCGTCCTTCTCGACGTCATCGACCGTACCTCGAGGCCAGCACGACAAGACTGCACATGCGTGCCAAAGGCCAAACCCATCCTTATCGACCTCCTGCCCTCATGTCTTGTGCATCTGCATCCGTTCCCTCCCTGACTTCTTCGGGCGCATTCCTTCAACGGCTATTTACCCGCCGCTCAACATGAGGCTGCGCAGGGCTCTTATCCGCTGTGATCGTGCCATCTCCCCTGCTCACACGTCCGTCGCCTACATTACCCACCATTGTCATAATTCCTCTCCCTTCTCTGTACACTATCCCAAGAACTGCCTCCCAATGATCAACATACAACCGTCTTATCCCAACCTTTTCACGTCCACACTCACTTCGCCTGTGCATGCTCCTGCTAGTATTCGTGCTTTCTGCACCTGTGGGTGGTGATGCTGCAAGCCACCAATCATCATCGTGCTTCACATCCTGCCCAGGGTCTGATATTCATCCCCCTGCTGCACAGTTCGGACTCTATGCCCCTTCGAGTTGTGTTCTAATGTTAGCCAGCGTGGACCCCACGTCGTGATCTCTTTCAAACTATGCGGTGTGATCTGGGTGGTTCAGTCTATGTGGTGCAACTCACTTGCTCAACTTGAAGCTGTCCTCTCCACTGCTCGTGCAAACATCCCACCCTCCAACCTGCAACTTGGTCGCAAGACCTCTTAAGACCGTGACGGTGGGTGTCCAATGGCACTTGGCAACGACACCGACGCCGACGACGACAGCGACAACGACGACGACAGCGACAACGACGACGACGCCGACGACGACTACGACGACGTCTCCAACGACTTCGACGACGAAGACAACGACGACGACGATGCCGATGCTGACGACGACGACGACGATGACAACGCCAACAACGACGACGACGCCGACGACGACGACGACGCCGACGACGACGAGGACGACGACGGCGGCGACGACGAAGACGACGACGACGTCGCCAACGAAGACGACGACGACGACGAGGGAGGAGGGAGGACGACGACGACGACAACGACGGGGGAGGAGGGAAGACGACAACGGAGACGACGACGACGGCGACGAAATAGGAGGGACAACGACGAAACGCCGACGAAGACGACGAGGGAAGAAACGACCACGGCGACAACAACGACGGAAACGACGACGCCAAGACGACGACGACGACGAGGAAAGACAGAGGACGACGACGGCGACGACGACGACGACTACGAGGGAGGAGGGAGGACGGCGACGATGACGACGACGACGACGACGCAAGAGCGCGCGCGCACGCTTTTGTTGAAAATCCGTGTTGCGAAACCTTGTGTTTTTGTATGTGTTTGGGACACTCGATTTTGAAATCCTTCCGAAACCGAAGGTTTTCGAAGGATTTCGGCATGCGCGCGCGACGACGCGCACGTCTGTACTTCGTCAAAATTTGTGCAGAGGATTCTCGCGACTTCACGCGCGCAAGGACGTTCGACAGATTTCGACATGCGCGCGCGAAGCCCGTTTGGTAATATTTTTGAAAATATTGAAAAACCTATGGTTAACTTAACATTTCGCAAGAGAGCGCGCGTAAGATGTTTTAGCACATCAGTGTTGCGAAACCATGTGTTTTTGGATGTGTTTCTGGAGACTCGATTTTGAAATCCGTCCGAAACCAAAGATTCTTGAAGGATTTCGGCATGGGCGCGCGGCGACGCGCGCGTGTGCACTTCGCCCCATTGTTTTGCAAGGGATCCTTTGAAAATTATGTTGGTTTATAAACGAGAGTGCGCGCATAGTATTTTTTGCAGAGGGTGGCGGGGGAGAGTGATACCGGCCTGGCTGGGTTAGTACGAACTCATATTTCGGATGGACGGGTGTGCAGAATAATTACGAAATCGCAATACCCCAGGGGGGATCGTCAACTCCGGGGGGGGGAGAATTTATGTTTATTTCAAAGAATCTAGGTTGTGCAATCGTATGGCGGAATCTCCGTGGTTGATAGCAATGAAGAGCAATGTAATGTAAAGAGATGCAATGCAATGCAATGCAATGCGATCCTATGCAATGCAATGCGATTGCCGTGCAATGCAAATCAATCCAATGCAATGCCATTGCAATGCTATGCTGTGCGATTGCAATGCACTGCGATTACACATCAATGCAAAACATTGCATTACAATCGAATTCCATGAAATGTAATCCACTGCAACAGCGCAAGACAATGCATTGCACTGCAACTTGATGCAAACCAGAGCAACAGCAATGCAAAGCAATTCGAGCCAACGAAACGATGCGAAGTAATCAACGCAACGCAACGCACTGCAGAGACATAGGAAGAATTGCAACGCACCGCAGTGCGACGCTATGCAACACAACGCAAACCCATGCAGTGAACATCCGTGTAATGCGATGCAAGACTACGCCGAGCAGTGCACTGCAACGCAATGCAACGCAACGCAACGCAATGCAACGCAGTGCAACACAATGCAACGCAATGCCGCTGTGACGCCATCTGAACGCAATGCGATTGCAACACCATGCGATGAACTGTCACGTAATGCACCTGCAACGCAATGCGGTTGCAGTGCAACCGGAGGGGGGGGGGGTGCAACGGGGCGGCGGCGGCGGGAACAGGGGCCGCCGAGCCAGCAAACGGGCCTCTCGTTCGGAAGCATGGCGCGGCGAGGGGCGGGGAACGGGGATGGCGGGACCGCCAACCGGCCAAGTTCCTCAGCAAGGGAAGTGAGAACTCCTACAGCGGTGGCTCGACAACAAGCAACCTTCCACAAGAAAACCAATCCCGAGACCCCAAGACGTCCATTGGTTTCTTCTTTTGGTGTGGGGACGTCACGCTCTCCAGAGACAAAGCATCGAAACCCAAGGACAATCCGGGGCACCCTGGAGACGAGCAGGGTGTCTCTTGGCACGGGGAAATGTGCTCCTCGGGGAAACGGCTTGGATCCCACCTGGCGGATGGGGAGGAGGAGGAGGAGGAGGAGGAACAGGGGGAGGGTGCAGGGAGCCAGGGGGAAGGGGAGAGGACGGGGGGTGGGAGGCGGGTCCGAAAGGGGAGAGGGAGGGTACTGGCCCCAGAATCAATCAATCTCCTCGTCGAAACTACGGAACAAAAAGACGCAGCCTTTTTCTCATTGGTTTGGACGGGAGCCACTCTTGGGGTAAACCAATCCCTGTAGTCGACATCCACTGCTCGAACTCTGACCCGGGCCCCGCAGATGTGCCGGCCCGTGGGTGGATGCGGCACGCGTGGACGCCTGGGTCTCTCCAGTCGAGGCTTAAGTCGGGCATGCCCCTCTACAGGAGAAATGTCAAAACATACAAAAAATAGTCCGGGGACGTTTCTTGCTTTCTCTGTTGTTGACTACTTTTGAAATTGTTAGACTCGTTGCATTTGTCTTCCAAGGTCTGCCTGTAGGATAAGAGGACATGCCCGACCTAAATCGAGGCCCAACTGCGCCCCTGCCGCTCTTCGATATGCCCTCTGGCCCGCTCCTTGCCGCCGCGGCGGTAGAGGCGACGCGCTGCGAGGCGCCAGGGCGCATATTGGCACGGAAGGACACGCGCCCTGGGGGAAACTTCATTCATGACGAATGCTTCGTGCTGAGGAAAACTTCGTCCATGACGAATGCTTCGTCCCTGGGGAGAGCCTCGTCCATGACGTATGCTTCGTCCCATGGGGCCGTCCCCGGTGACGAATGCTTCGTCCTGAGTCGCGCTCACGCGGTCCCGGGGCCCGGAGAGGGCCGCTGTAGGGCCCGAAGCATCCTGACGCAAGGCCCAACCACATGCAGGTGTGGGTGCCGCCAGACAGGTGGAGACTGTGGAAGGGGACGAGCACAAGGACTGGTCGGCGGGGGCCCCCCATGCAATTGCGGCCGCTGGGGTCTTCGGTGGAGCTCCATGTGGGCCCTGGAGACGTGCGAGGAATGTGCCGCAATGAGCGGGCCCCCCCCCAGGTGAACGCTGCCACTGGGGCCTTCGACGGAACTCCCCCATGGGGCCACGAGACTTGTTTGGGGTGTGCGGGTACGTGGAACACCCGTGCGAACGCTGCCACTGGGGCCTTCGGTGGCGCTCCATGTGGGGCCACGGGAAGTGGGAGGGGCAGGAGAGCCCATAATAGAATCGATAAGTCGAATAGGCGATCGACATGAATCGGATCGGTTGAAATCGGCAGCCGAGTCAGGAAGAGTCGAATCGGTGTACATCGGCAGGCAAGTAGGCCTCCACTGAGAAATCGGATCCCGAATCGGAATCCGATGTCGAATCGAATCGGAATCATCGAAATCGAATCGAATCGAATCGGAGGAGCCGAACTGAGTCCTGGAGGGGTGGGCCGGGTTGGGCGTGGGCACGCACGGGGACCTGGCCAGTGGAGTCTGTGTGAAGGGGGGTGCCGAAGCAGAGGCACGCGGAGGGCAGAAGGGTGCAGGAGGGAGGACGGGAGAGAGGTAGACGGACGCGGGGCGCTGAGGTTCCAAAACGATGACCCAGCTCGACACTAGACCGCAGATGGCTGGAACAACAGAGCGCCTCAGGACCCCGAGCCTCGAACCTCGGACATCTAGAAGACGGAAAAACTGCATAAATATAAACTTGTGGCGCTCCGCGCGGATTTCTTGGATCTGGCCTGGCCCCCTTCCCTGGCGCGAGGAGCGCGCCATGGGCGGCGCTGGTGGCGCCGCCGGCGGGGCCCAGCGCGGAGCCAAGAAATCCCCGCGGAACGCCACTCAAAGCTCGAAGCTCGAAGCGCGCAGCGCGAACCTCGAGCCTCGGGTCCTGCGCCAGCCTCGCGAGCGAGAGCGGGGGCGGCGGCTGAACCCCCGGGGGCGCCGGCCCCGTGGAACGGCATGCTCGCGTACTCGTGGTACTCGTGCACGGGCTGGTCCATCGCGCTATCGTCCACCCTGCGCCAGGCTGCTTCGAGGGCGGGTCGGCGCCGATGCCGCTTCACGTCGTGCGCGGAGGAGGGGGAGGGGCATGTGGAGGACGAGGAGGAGGAGGAGGAGGAGGAGGAGGAGGAGGAGGAGAAGGAGGAGGAGGAGGAGGGGGAGGAGGAGGAGGAGGAGGAGGAGGAGGAGGAGAGGAGGAGGAGGGAGGAGGAGGAGGAGGACGAGGAGGGCGAGGAGGAGGGCGAGGAGGAGGAGAGGGGGAGAAGGGGGAAGGAGGAGGAGGAGGAGGAGGAGGAGGAGGAGGAGGAGGAGCCGCCGCCCGCCCGTTTCGGTCTGTCCGAACTACGAAGATACAATCGGGTGGGGACAAAACGAGAATCTCTCAGATCCGGCGGCCCTGGAGGATGTCTCGGGGGCCGCGGCCTTCTCAGATCGTTCCGGCACGCTCTGAGAGCGCTCCGTAACGCTCTGCAGCGGATGTATCCTCGTCCACCTTGCGCCAAACGCGGGGCGGCCGATAGTCGCCCCGGGTTACTGGATGATTCCCGGATCGTCGACCGAACCGCAGTCGAATCGTAACCGATTCGTTGCTGGAGGCGTCTTGCATCGAATCGCCAACCACGGCGATTCGGCTCGACGAGCCCGATCGAATCGCGTTCAGCGCTGGCAGTGCTCTGAAGCGGTGACACGGGGCTTATCACCTGAGGAAGCAGCTGGGCTCGAGGCGCAGCAGGGCACGCAGTTGACAGGCCAAGGGCGTGGCTGGTCAACTCGGGGGTGGCGTCCTCCTGCTCTTTGGCATCGCCCTGCTCTCTCGCCTGGCCCTCTCTCCCCTCGGGCATGGCCAGACGGCTCCCTTCCGCGGCGACACTCTTTCCAAGACGACCCCGCGTCCTGGGTTCACACCTTCTGCTCGTCCTAGTCCTCATCCACCTCCTCTTCCCTTTTCGTCTAGCTTTTTCCTTCCTCCTCCCTTATCCCTCCAACTCCTCCTGCTCCTCACTCGCATCCTAGTCACTCCTCATCCTCTCCTGCTGCTCCTCCTCCTCGTCCTCCTCCTCGTCCTCCTCCTCCTTTTCCTCATACTTCTCCTCCTCATACTTCTCCGCCTGCTCCTCCTCATCGTGTACCCCGTCCCCGCCCTCCCCCCGCCCCCTCTCTTCCATACCCGTAAGTAACTACTTCCTCGCACCACCAGGCAAGTCCGTAGGCCACAACGGGCGTTGCTTGAGACGTCCTCGCAACGAATTGCCAGTATCTGGCTCTCGCCTTAGCGCCGCGCCCCTTCGCTTTACAATATTCCGACAATGAAGCTAATGGCTGACGGTCCGGCTGTAGCGCGACCCGACATGGAGGGCGAGTTTCCAGAGAGGAGCGCGAGAGAGCGATGTGTATGTGTACATATATATATACACATACATACACACATACATACATACATACATACATACATACATACATACATACATACATACATACATACATACATACATACATGCATACACACACATACATACATACATACATACATACATACATACATACAGACATACAGACATACATACATACATACATACATATACATACATGCATGCATGCATACATGCATGCATGCATGCATACATACATACATACATACATATACATACATACATACATACATGCATGCATCCATGCATGCATGCATGCATGCATACATACATACATACATCCATCCATCCATACATACATACATACATACATACATGTAAGTATGCATTCGAGGGGGCGACCCTCCCTTTGCACCCCCCTCTCGCGCGCTAACGCGCGTAGCCTGTCTCGTCCTGCTTCCAGATGTGGTCGTCGTCGAGCCCAGAGGATGGAGGACAGTATCTACAAATGTGGATCTCGCCTGGGCCCGTCGCGCACTCGTTCAAAACACGAGCCTCAGCAACTGCAGGGGGCTCCCGCGTGAGTACGGGCCCCCCAGAGCTATACATCACCACCTCCGCGTGCCCCTCCCCCTTTCAGAAACGAGGAGGGGAAGAGGAGGGCGGAGGAGGGAGGGGGAATGGAGGTGGTGGTGATGTGCATTCTTGGGGCCCGCAGCGAGACGACCTCAAACAAACATTTCCAGAGTCGCAGCACTGCCACCGACTGGGGAGCGGCTCCTTCCCAAAAAGGGGCTCTCGCCTCCGACGTCGCCAAAACTCGCGCAGCCGGGAGCCGCACGCATGCTGTCACAGCTGCGTGGGTTCAGGGCCAGGGCTAGACCTGAACAGTGTTTGTCGTTGTGGTTTCGTTCTCGTGTGCCATCGTCTTGTCTGGAATGCGCCTCTGCTGCAACACGACCTCGAAATGAAAACGGCCCACGCAATCGCCAACGCACCGTTTAGGCCCGCCCCTGTTCCGGGCGGTGCCTCCTTGCTAGAGCGGGGCAAGGCTGTCCCTGCAGAGGCCCGCCTCGCCTCACTCCTCGCCGCTCGAAAGATGTCCGGGCAGGGGCCCGGCCACGAGAAAAAAAACCCTCCCACGAGCCACCCAGCAACCCCGAGACCCCAGGACGTCCACGGACCCTTTCTGGGTGCGGGGGCGTCACGCGCTCCGGGGGCAACACCCTCGAGAGGCCCGAGACGCCCCGGGCACCCTGGAGGCAAGCCGGGTATTCCTTGGCAGAGCCCCCCCCCCTTTGCATCGGGCATGTCCCTCTAAAGGAGGACGATTCAAAAGTCACAGAGAGGAAATCGTCAGGGGACGATGTGGAAGATGTGTCGACTGTTTCTCGTCCTTCGTCCAAGATCCCCCTGCAGGAGGACATGCCCGGCCGAACCCCGCTGCAGGGCGGCGCCCTTCCAACGCACCGAGCTCTGCCACGCCCGACTGCTGCGAGCCCAGGCCCGGCGCTCGCCTCTCCATCACGCGGGAGGGGGGGGGGCGCCCCTCCCGCCGCGAAGAACGGTCCCGCCTGCGGGGGCTAGATGGGGAGGAGTCTCGGAGGGGGAGGAGGAGGAGGATAAGGATAAGGATAAGGCCCTTGGGGGTCTGTCAACTTCGCCTACCGACAGGCATGCCGACCCCTGGGAAAGAAATGGATGCGAGCCCACCCGTTGCTTTGGGGGGGCCGCCTGAGGCGACGGGGCCCGCCTCTCTGGGGGGCGTGGTCCCCGAGCCTCGCTAGCAGGGGGACCCTGCCTCGGCTTAGGCCTTTGAGCTGCTGCAGGCGGAGGGGAGCTGCCTCTCTTTGGGCGCACCCCCCGCCGCTGGGAGCCCACCCACCCTCGCTCCCTCACTCCCCCCACCCCTCACTCCCCAGGCGACAAGAAGAGAGACACAAAAAAAAGAAGGGCGGCCTGTGCGTCTCCCTGGCGTGTCTCGGCTGGTATGGATGCATGGCCGCACTGGCCCATGCGCTGAGTGCTGTGCTGCCGAGCCCCCACTGCGGGAGTGGGGGAAAAAACAAGAGAGCAAGGCCTGATGCAATCGGCTCTCTACTGCCCTATGCCCCAGCCTGCCGCTGCTGCTGCCCTTGGCGACGAGAGCCTCACGTCCCTGCTCTGCGCAACGCCGTCGGCCTTAGTAGCTGCGGCTGGGGAGCTGGCCTCACCGCACAACACCACGCCGCGGTTCTCCCAGCCCTGCACGCTCTTGCTCGGACTTGGGCATGGCGGCCTGCGTGCGGGCTGGAGAAAGTCCTTGATCTCCATCTCCGCCTCCACCACCGTCGCCCTCTGTGGGTCAAAGGAGGCCTCGTCGTAGGCGTAGCCATGCGGGCCCTTGGTCCAGCGGGTGTAGATGTGGTCGATCTCGTCGACCTGGCGCCTCGAGTAGTCAAGCTCCCACGGCATCGGCCCGTGCATCATTTTGCCGAGCTTGTCATCCGTGATGCCGATTGCGCCCCTCACCGCGCTGATGGCGCTGTTGATGTCGTGCAGCTGCTCCTTGAGGTAGTGCTTCGCTTGGCTGCGCTCTGCGTCTTCATGTGGATTGAGGCTCCTTGCGTTCATGCGGCCGAGAGTAGTCACCACCTTCTCTCTCTGCTTGTGGAGAGCGTGGAGGGCCTTCTCGCTGTGCTCGGTCGCCACCTTGAACGCGTCGGCGGTGCTCTGGAGTGTGTTGTGCGCGATCTCCAGTCTGTACGCCGCCGTGCCCACGACCTGGTCGGCCACTCCTCCCGAGCCCCCTCTGTCATGCGGCTTCTGCACTATCGTGGGCTGCATGAGCTCGGCCTCGTCTGCAACTGGCTGCTGCTCCAACGCCCCCTTCTCCGCCATGTTCGCCTGCGCCGCCATCGCTGCTCTGGTCGTGCGCCCGCGGGGAACGCATGCTCTGAACGTGGGCGGAGTATCCGCCAGCAGTGGATAAGGAGGCCGCGAGGATGCTCGAGTCGTAAATGTCCGCTGGTAGTATGTCGGGCTGTGTACTGGTCCTCGTTTTACCTTAGTTGTCCCAGCCTACTGTTGTTCACCTTAGATATTGTAGCAGTTTCCTTAGTTCCCAGTAGTTGGGGCAGTAAGGAACCGTAGTAGGGCCTTGGTGTGAGAGTAGGCGTAGGCTCGGTCGTTCGCTGCAGTCGGTATCCTGTGCCTGTCCTTAGTGCGCTATTCTTACTCGCTCTATCCGCAGAGGGTCGAGGGAGGTAGCAGCTGTGATGACTAAGGCGGACTAAGGCTGGATGTAACTGAGCGGAGGAAGGGAAGTCGAACCGTGGTCGGATCACAATCGCATGGCTGTGCTGAATGCTGTGGTGTGATAGTTCCCTGTGTATGCTGTTCACTTTGTAGTACGCAGTGTGTACTCTGTAGCATGTACTGTCGTTCTGTTGTACGAGGTCCGGTACGAGGTCGCAGATACGTCGGCTCCGAGCGGGCATCCGCAATACTGTCTGACAGAGGAGCCCCGACTGCGAGTGGAACTAGTAGAGAGCTGATTGCCTGAGAAATAGTAAGTTGGAAGTAGGAGTTGGTGGGGGGAGGGGGCGTAGGTGGTGGGAGCCCGTGTAATAGTAGGGTGACGGCTGGATAAGTAGAGGGTCCGCC